CGTTAACGGTTAGGTTTAGGGTTAGATTTAGGGTTAGGTTTGGGGGGGTTAGGGTTAGGGTTAGGTTTAGGTTTGGGGGGGTTAGGGTAAGGTTTTCGCTTTATTTTTACATTTTTCGATCACAGCGCGATGTTTTCGTCGCGCTGTGATGACGTCAAATGCGCGCTTTCGTCGAGCGCGATTTTGTCCTCCGCGGTTTTGTGGTGGAACCCTGACTGTGAGTCAATTGTCAAGCACCCAAATGGAAATCATGTGACCATGGGGATGCGGCAATAATTTATAAGTGTGGAAAATGATCATAAATCACTTTTTTCAATGCCATTGTAACTTTGGATGATCACTAAGCGAACTGTTGTAAATCAAGGACTCTCTGTATTTGATTCTGTTGGTGTATCATATCTCCCACGATGCACAACACTAGGCGGCAATGCTGAGGCTGAGCCAGAAGTTGAGGACTAGGTCTAGACCTCAACTTCAGCCCTCAAAGCACCACTGCCACTCAAAAAGGCTACTTCACCCTGATCACCAAGGCATGCAACCTTTCCATTGAATCATATAGTAAGAAAAAAACTTTGTAACCATACTTGTATTTGCTGCAAAGGAAACTGGAAATTTTTTTCTATCCATCCATCCTTCCTTTCTTTCTCCCTCCCTCCCTCCCTCCCTCCCTCCCTCCCCTTCCTTATTTTGCATTAGTTTTGTTAGTTTATGTTCTCTTTAAGTATGTATGTATGTATAAAAGATAAAGACAGAATGTTAAATAAAAGTCTTATAATAATAATGATCAAATCAATGTTCATACCGAATGAATAAATAAAATGTACAAAAGTCTACTTGAATATTTTGGTTTAGCTTAGCATTCAGTATATTTTAATGGATTTTATAAGGTAATTTTATTAGGTAATTTTTCATATGACCTAATAAAGACTTCTGATAAATGTGCTAGGTTTATTGCACATTGCAATAAACTTCAACTTATGAATACCAATATATCTCTTTTTTTGCTTCTTAATAGGTATCTTATAACAGCATGTCTGTTTTTGAACATGAGAAGAAAAATATATTTGGTCTCCATAATGGTTTAGATAAATACAAGTTCGATTTTGGAAAAATAAACCCATTGTTTATAGGATTTTGTTGCCTTGATTCTTTCAGAAACTTTAAATAATTTCTACTTCCTGAAACATATAACTCATTATTCTAATAACGTTTTCTAGGTTTGCATACACATGGTAGTAAGCCTCGGTTTTCCAGACATTTAACATTTAGAAATTGACTTATTCAGCAGATGGTTCATAGATAGGACTAAGCAAGATTAATCTTTTCCACTGCAGGGAAGAATAAAGCCATATAAACACAGAAGATTGCCCACGGCAGAATGTAAAATCAAAACATGAACTGAAGTCTACATTCCTGAGTTTAAATCCCAGGCCTTTTCTTTCTGCATTTCTAAGCCAATAGTTTGGAGCAGGGACCCCTGATTTGGAGAACTTACGGGCCACTTCTTGCATCAAAATACAGCAACCATGTGGAAGTGAGGAACTTTACACAGGCCTAAACTCAGGTATCAGTCTCTTCTCCTTTTGTACAGGTGCCAAGAAGAAACCTCCCTGCCACAAGTACAACATGGAAATAAGACCCTTCTACCACGGATACAAGGAAAGAAGCTCCTGATCATTCTGCATGTAAAAAAAGTGGTTAAATCTGAACCAGAAAGAAACTTTAATTCTACAATGCTGTCAATTGATATTTCAATGTATTTTCAGTATTAATAAGTTTGAGTATAACATGTTTATATAATGTTCTTGGGAGACATACATAGTTCCAACTAAAAAACCCTTATTTTTTTCCTCCTGAACAAGTAGCCATCTTAAATTTATCACTCTTCAGATTTGATGTTATTACTTTGAACATACAGTTAATGACAGTGGTGAAATGCTCTGAAGTCGGCTATTGGTTTACTTCACACATGCAGGCGCAATGCAGGCGCTACCGCACAGCGCTGAAAAAGGAGGATTAAGAAGCCTTTTCTGAGTCTGCAAAGGTAATAGAACAGCGGGTGGGTGGGTGGGTGGGGAGGAAAGCGGGAGTTCCTGCTTTCTAGCAAATCTAAATCGCACGGCATAACTGATTGTTGCACAGCTGATCATTGCAACTACCGGTTCGTTCAAACCGATAGTAAAAAAAATGCTACCAGTTCAGGCGAACCAGTAGTTCCGACAATCAGCTGTGCGACAATTTCTAGCGAATAAAAATAATGCGGCAAAGCTGATTGTCGCACAGCTGATCCTTGGAACTACCGGATTGCCCGAACCAGTAGCCTTTTTTTTTTTACTACTGGTTCAGGTGAACTGGTTGCATTTTTTTTTTACTATTGGTTTGGGTGAATCAGTCCAAACCAGTAGCATTTCACCCTGATTCGTGACATTCCAAAATGTAAAATCCATCCATTTAGAGGCAATAGATTATCTAATTTGGGGAATGGATCCCCCTCCCATTATATCCAAAAAACCAAGCAGGATTATAGGATACTTTAAATGTGGGAATTGAAATGTTTCTTAATTTAATGGATTTTAAAAAAATGTTACACTAAGGACATTCACCATCTACACATTGATGTATATTACTTGTCAGCCTCTTTTATTATGTCAGTTTTTCACAGTGAGGTTTTCAGTGATTCACAACCTATCACTAGGCCTGTACATGATGATGTGCCCTATATGTTTCTTAAGCACATTTATGGCAGACAATAATAGATGTGAAAGTTTCAGATATTTAAACCAATGAGAAAATATGAACATGACTTTTAAGTGATATATTAACAACACATTTTTAACGGGGGCTTTTTTTTTTTGCTTTTCATCCCCTCGAATGAATCTAATTTATTATCCACAAGTCAACTTAATTATTAAATAATGTTAATTATTAGCTGTGGAGCTCTTTGAGTGCCTTTTTAATAATCTCTTTCTGCATTGAAAGGCTCATGATACCCTAGGATTTTAAATATTTTTATAAGATGAATTTAGTGCCGTTTCTTTGAACTTTTATGTTCTACAAAGTTATTAAATATGTTCCATCAGCAGCTTTTCTGTTTAATCTGTATTTAGAAATTGCAAAAACTATTTTCACCCAGGTTTATCTGCATGAAAAAAAACACACACATTAATTCTTAATGTAGAGGCCACTTGAAAAGTGAGCTAAGCAGGTTTGTGGATAGAGTTAATTTTAGACATTTTGTTTTATCATTGCTTTCTCAGGATAGTAGAGATTACTGTTTATGGGTGTAAGAGTCATCTATTATTTTCTTGCCAATTCAGCAATTCCCATTCCACAAAACTCTGATGATGAAGGCATTTTCAGCCAATTACATAGCTGCATACTTACCTAATATACAGGACTCCATTTTGATCCACCCTCCGTTGCCAACCAACTGGGACTTGTACTGCTGGCAGCCCTCCATCCTTGTCCCCACTGTCACATTCCTTGCTTCCATTCATTTTTCTGATTAAGCTTATGATTCTTCAAAGATATCAACAGGAAGATGATATCCTTATTCTAAAAATCATCATGGCCTTCAGGAGGTGGCCACACAGCACAGTAATTCCCAGGGTGTACAAAGTGCATTGGAAGGCTCTGTCTCAGTCCATAAAGTTGACCATTTTTGTTGCTGTTGTTGACAAGTCAATTGCCCATTCTGAATCAAGGCAGTTATGAAATGTGTTATTCCTTATGTAGTCATAAGGATATCCTAAATAGGTAAAAACAAGTATTTCCAACTTGGGAAAATCATAATCCATCAATTTTCTGTCACTGGCAACAAAGGGACACAAATGTTTATTCCTAGTTCCATAGCACAACTCCAAGCTTGCTGACTGTCTAAGCTAATTTGTATTTTGAGAAATTAACTCCCATTTTTACAGATGTATGGCAACTAATACCTCCAGGTATTCAATCCTTTTCATATGCCACATTCTTTTTGTTTTCTCATGCTCTTCCATTCATTGTCCAAGGTACTCCTGGACACTTCTTCTGATTCTCTCATGATGATACAACTTCAAGGTGAAAGCCTGAGGAAAGAACATAAACAGCTAAATACAATTATCATGGTTTTAAAAAGGAAGTTAGATATGTGCATTTTAAATTTGTTCTGTTTGGGGTGTTAAATAGCTCATTAAATAAGAATTCTTTTCTTCTCAGTCTATTTGCACAATACAACATAGTCTGATAAACTGTCATTTGGGGTTTACACAAATAGCACTTGTATCCCACCACAAGCTTTAGTTAGAGTTCAGTTTTATGCAAACCCAAACCTTGGATGTTTCAGATTTAGAGGGTTATAATATATCTGAAATAATAACTCAAATCCACAAGATGCTTTGCTACAGTCTCTTTCTACACCAGAGCTGGCATGAAATCACACCTCCCTAAATTTTGCTGTCTACACATTGCATCCCACAATGCAGTATGCTGAGCCTTCCAGAGGAAAGGGGAAATGTTAATGTTCTGAATGGCTCAATCTGTGCCTTTTGTTGGAGCTTTCACCAGATTTGAGATCTTTTTTTTCCAGCACATGGAAACTGGTTGTAAATGCGAACAGATTGATAAATACCAAAAATGCAGCAATGTGACCGGAGCCGGTGGGTGCGGGGTATGTGTGGCATGACATTTTACCTTGGCCAACAATGCTTTACCGGTCATACACATGTTCTGAGGCTGTTGTAACTGCAAACAGTTGACCAAGGATAAGTCGAGAACTGCTTGTATGACTTAAAGGAAGGATGGGTTTAACACATCCAAAGTTGATCACTGGAGTATTTGACCCCATGCAGCAGCATGGAGTCAAGAGATTTCTTTTTAATTTCTTGTCACCTTGCCAGATTAACCATTTCAAGAGGCAAATGACATACACAGCAACCCAAAGCAGTGTTTTTCAGTCTTATGTTCATAAACATGTGAACAATGTAGTCAATGTCAGCAATTGCAAATGGATAGATAGCTGCTTAATCAACCCATTTACAAAGGAAGGAAGGAAGGAAGGAGAAAAAAAGGTATACAGATGCTAGGGATTCAATCTCCATCACAGCCAGAACTGAATGAGGAATGGATTAAATAATCAGAGACAAGATTGATGAGGCAGTCCTAGAAGAAACAATGGAGCCACAAGATTGAGAGTATGGAACATATCATCTCACTGTATATGTGTATGTACATATGGACCCTGAATTGTCAGCAAGCTCTTTCTAGAGGTGGGATGGGAAAATACTAGTTCCAGAATTGGGTATCAAGCTATCCTTGGACTGCCTTAGCTGTGGGGAGGACACTGAAATTCAAGGCAAGGGCATGTTAGTGGGCTGTCCTTATACAGGGTAAGGAGGCTGTGTAGATTCAACTATATTTAAAACGAAACAGTGCAAAGCAGGAGTACAGGTAGTCCTTGACATACGGCCACACTTGAGCCCAAAATTTCTGTTGTAAAGTGAGACATTTGTTAAGTAAATTTAGCTCCATTTTACTATCTTTCTTGCCATAGTTGTTAAGTGAATCCCTGCAGTTGTTAAGTTAGTAACAGGGATTGTTAAGTGAATATGAATTCCCCATTGGTTTTTCTTGTCAGAAGGTTGCATTAGGTGATCACATGACCTGGGACACTGCAACGGACATACATTTGAGTCAGTTGTCAAGTGTCTGCATTTTGATCGTGTGACCATGGAGATGCTGCAATAGTCATAAGTGCAAAAAATGGTCATAAGTCACTTTTTTCAGTGCCATTGTAACTTTGAATGGTCACTAAATGAACTGCTGTATGGTCGGTGGCTATGGTCGGTGATCTCTCATCAACTGTGTTAGTTCCAAATGTAATTCTAAAGTGACTAGAAATTATGAAATCTGAATATGTTGTGCTTGTTTTGCATGACACAACAACAACAAACCTAGCCCCCAGACGTACATCTGGAAATGATATTTTTCACCATATTCACATTTTATATCATTTACCTGAATATTTCATTTTGTACAGTGTCTAACAATTCTGTCTGCTAGCATGCATGCATGCCACCTCCTCCCCTCCCCCCATCCAAGGGGGATTCTCTAGGACAGGGGTGTCAAACTTGCAGCATCACGTTGTCGTCATGTAATGCATTGCAACTTTTCCCCCTTTGCTAAACCGGGGGTGACGCATCCGGCCCGCGGGCCGGAGTTTGACACCTCTGCTCTAGGACATCATATGACATACCCTACATATGCTAATTTAACAAGTATAGGAACCATTAGTTTTCAGTTACAATCATATTTAACTAAAATTGTAGCCATTACAGAAAGTGAATTTGGCTTCCCCAGTGATTTTGCTTGTCAATAGGTCGCAAAAGGCCACAATAGTTAGGCTCATATTACATACTTATGCATATTGCTTTACTTAATTGCTGTGGGCTATGTACATAACTAGGTTTTGACTGGTCTCAAAATTTATGCCTCTATTATGAAAGAAAAAAGTCTACTAAGGTTTCTAGACACTAGCATAATGAGAATCAAAGTTGGCATTAGCTTCTATTCACTGGGGAACAACTTTGTGCTTAGGCCTAAACCTGCCTCCTGAATGGCAGAACACATAAATGGGAGCCAATTAAGTTTGATTCATACCATAGCTTGTTTTGATAATGATTTGCTGATCCTAGTGCAGATAACATGCTAAACAATAAACAATGGCTTGTTTATTTCCCAACCCTTCATACTGACCAGCTGCTAGGAACTCTGGATATTCACAAATAAAAACATATTCAATAATAAACAGATACAATGATAAAGAAAACAAGGAATAAAAGATGAGAAAAACTAGGCAACCGTAAGAAGAAAACATACACTGCCAGAAATAGAAAATTTCTGAATACAGTTGTTCTGTTTGCACAATACAGTACACAAATTCAATAAGCCCTGTTATGGTTTGGTGTGATATTGTGAGCCCAGCAATGTCATGTCAGGAGTTTCCAGGCCAGGGGTCTCCAACCTCACCAGTCCGTGGACCAGCACCGATCTGTGTCATGCCAGAAGCTCCATCCATGGAATGCAGGCAGCACATGAAACAATGTCCCCTCTGGTCCATGGAAAAACCTCTCTCTATAGAATCGGTCCTTGGTGCCCAAAAGGTTGGGGGCCACTGTTCTAGGCCAGACTTGATTTAATAATAAATCAAGTCTTCTTTGATTCATGTCCAATTTTGTGTTATGACAGGGACACAGCCATGTATTATCTTGGTAATACTGTAGCAGCACTTTCTTTAAAAATGTGGTTTATTAAAGAAGTTAGCCTATTCCACAGTCTTGGGATGTCTTCATAGTTTCTTCTCCAAATTTTAATCAGGGCCGATTCTGCTCAACTTTCAAGAGCAATCAATGTCAACTACATACTAACCTCTGCAGATTATTATTTTTATTGTATATTTGGAAATAAAGTTAAATGGGATTAGTATTATCTGTGACTGAAATACAACAAATAGTAAATGTGTCAATCCTGAAGCTGACCTGACCAAAGCCATCTTGGAGCTTCAGTGTTGCCACACTGGAGCTGAGGGATTGGGGGTGGGGAATAGCAAAAATAAAATACTTTCTCTTGGGAACCAAGGACATTCTCATACCTGGTCAGAGGAAGGAGGAGTAATGTCACCAGGCAACCAGACGGAGCCGTAATTGGACCATATGACTGATTGTTTTGAGAAAGTGAAAAACTTTTGCTTTTAATTAATTGGGAATCCTCAGAGTCAGTTTTCACTACATGCCTCGGAGTTTTGCTTGAGTCTATTACCTGGAACCCTGACAAAATGTGCATTATTGTCGATTAATATTAAAAAAGCTAGAAACCTAAATAGATACAAAGTACTTCTTCCAGATCAAAATAATTGTCAAACCAAGTCAAATTTTCAGTGTAAAGTAACTTGGTTGTTCAGTCATTAAGTTGTGTCCGACTCTCTTCACGATCCCATGTAAACCTAAGAATTGTTCAAAATTGGAATGTGGACTTTATCAGGCTTTTTACAGTGTAAAAATAACAACATGAATATAATTTACATAAGCTACTTATCAATGTAATTTTTGGTCCTTCTTTCAGAATCAGAATTAATATTAATATTATTTTAGTGTTGTTGACAACAATAATAATAGTAATAATACGCTGATAAAAAAGACAAAGAAGTCTGGATAGTGGATGTTGCAGTACCTGGAGATAGTAGAAAAGAAGAGAAAGATCTGGAGAAAATCACAAAATACAAGAACCTGCAAACAGAAATAGAACAACTGTAGCAAAAGAAAGCAAAGACAGCTAATAGTAATAAGCACCTAGGATGCAATCCCAAAACAACTTGAATACCAAAAGCACCAACAAAATCCATCGTCAGGCATCTATCACTATATCATTAAACAACATCTGACTATCCCAGGTCTTTGGGAAGAATTTGATAGATGGACAAAAATGCCATACCCAAGCTGGCTGGCTGTCAGAGGGGGGTTCCAGCCAGCACGCACCGGTATGTGCCTATCGTGGTCATAGAATTTAGCATGCCTTCCCGTACCGGGGCTTCCAGAGGCCCCATACCAGAATGGCCCCTCCCCTGGCCTGCCCCCCCTGCTCACTCCCTCGCCTGCCCAGTCATCGCTCTCTCTCTCTCTCTCCCCACGTGTCCACACCATGCTTGCCCCACCCACTCATTTCATTTGCCGGACTCAGCTATTGGAAGAAGCCCATGCTTCCTTCTTTTTGACAAGCGCCTGGCAAAACTGGAACTTTGCAAACCGCTTCTCAAAGAGAAGGAAGGGGGGAGGGGGACGGATTTCTTCAGATGAGCCCAGAAAGGCCACTTTGCCTCCGCTGCTCTCCTTTTCGCATGGCAGGTGCGGCCTCAAGGGGAAGATGTCCTACCAAGGCAACAATATCCCTCAGATCACAGTGAGGTGAAGCGCCCTTGGGCATACTCTGCTGGCCTTCGGCGGCCGAGGTGGGTAGGTGGGAAGCTCCAAAAGTACGGCATGAAGGGGGTGGGGGCCTGGCAGGGGGTGCAGCTTCCCTTTCAGCCTTTGAAGCC